AGGAGGAGAGGAGGCAGAGAGCTCCCCGCCCAGCGCTTCCCCTTTCCAGAGCCGGGCGGGAGGGGGACCCTGAGGGTGGGGGCACCCTCAGGGCACTATAGTGCCAGGAAAATGAGTATGTTTTCCTGGCACTATAGTGGTCCTTTAAATTTCTTCCTGACAGCAGAACATGTACAGGAAGGGTGTTTATGTGGTAAATATTCAGTACAGGCATTTCACCGGTTTACAAACTCCCACTTTATGTTTTCCCACCTTTACAAACAGAGGAAAAGAGGTGCAAGCCTTAAAATAAGAGAGAAAAAGAAGAGACTGATAGCTGTAAAACTAAAAGAAGTAAAATAAAAGTGATAAAGAAGAGGTGCAAGCCTGAAAGTAAGAGAGGAGAAGGAGGAGAACCCGAGAGCTTTAAAAATAAAGGAGGAAAAGAAAGTGATAAAGGAGAGAGGGAAGTTGGATAAGAAAAAAGTGAAAAAGGAGGAAGGCTTAAGAGAGGTGTGAAATAAAAGAAGGAAAAGGAAGATGGATAAGAAGAAAGTGAAGGACTCATAATGCCACCAAATAGAAAGGATGCTACAGTTGAAGCGTGCAATGAAAATATAAAAAGACAAAAAGCCATAACATTGGAAACAAAGTTGAACATCATAACAGACCATGATGCTGGAAATACCACTAAAGAATTAGCAACCAAATATTCACAAAGTAAATCAACTGTGAGTACAATTTCAACCCCTTAAGGACACATGACATGTGTGACATGTCATGATTCCCTTTTATTCCATAAATTTGGTCCTTAAGGGGTTAAAAGACAAAAAACTATATTTAAAGGAAGTAAAAAAAAAAAGTGCAATCCCTGCATTCTACAAAGAATATGAACAAAGAAGAATTAAAGCCTTATTCCTCATATGGAAATACTTTTAACAGCATGTATAAGTGATCAAACTGAACGGCTCCATATGCCTGTTACCTATGCTACCATTTGTGCTAAAGCTTTATCATTTTTTGAAATGCTGAAACAAAGAAAAGGAGGTAACACTGAAGAAACATTTTATGCAAGCGGTGGGTGGTTTGATCGTTACAAAAAAAAAAAAAGCTGGTTGGCATAACATAAAAATCCTTGGAGAACCTGCAAGTGCTGATACAGAAGCGGCTAAATTATTTCCTGCTAAGTTGGCTGAAATATTGGAAGAGGAAAATTACTCGTCATCACAGGTTTTCAATGAGGATGAAGCTGGTCTCTTTTGGAAGGGCATGCCATCAAGAAGCTGCATTGCAAAAAAAGAATCATCAATGTCTGGTTTTAAACCAGCGAAAGATCAACTTTATTGCTTGGTGGGAATGCAGCTGGAGACTGTAAGTTAAAACCCATGATGGTGCATCGTGCAGAAAATCCTAGGGCACTTATAGGAATTGTTAAAAGTACACTGCCAGTCATATGGGAAGCCAATAAAAACGTTGGGTAACTGCTGTGCTATTTAAAGATTGGTTCTCACATTATTTTGTACCTGAAGTGAAAAGGTATTGTGAAGATAAATCAATACCTTTCCAGTCATTCTGCTTGCAGATTATGCACCCGGTCATCCACCCTCTCTTCAACATCATCACCCTGCTCTCAAAATCATATTCTTACCACCAAATACAAATTCCATTTTGCAACCAATAGATCAGGGTATTATCGCCACATTTAAAGCACTGTACTGTTTTAGATCAAATCAAGCGTTTGATTATTTGTCTATCTACTCCTTTCTAAATTGATTGTGCGCATGTCTTCTGGAAGTAAATCACACAGGACACATTGCAGGTTTATGAAGAACTCCAGAGTGGCCTTTATTCCAGGGGGTGCAATTCCCTTTTAAAGCAGAAATACGTCATGTACAGAGTCACAGTTAACATACAGTATACATTCATCAATTGGTTAACAGTCTAAGGGGTCTTGTCTAAACCCACCCTACTGGGGGTGACCCCAGCATTATCACATGACATTTCTTTGTATCCCAGCCCCATTCCAGCTCCATTTTACTACACGTGGCATGTTTCTATAGAGCTTTAGTTGCACAAAGGAAGTGGGGGAGGAGTTAGTAAAGGAAGCTGTTCCTTTAACACAGGAATTTGTTACACAAGGCTTGCTCGATGGGAAGGGGCGATCGGAGAAATTTTCAGAGGAAATAGTTACTGAGCACACAGAGGGGGGGGGAAGGGAAGCTTTTACTCTAGCAGCCAGTTTTACACAGTGAACACAGATACACAGAATAAATAGATTTAGTAAATAAGACATTTTATTTTTAACTGTTTTGTCCATAACAGTACCTTAGGCAGACATTGTAAATGTTGATTAAAGCAACGGATAACAAAACATGTCCAAGTCTTAAAGATTTTTAGAGAAAATCATTTAATATTTTAGATGCAATAAAAATTACAGCACATGCCTGAAACAAAATTTCTGTGACAACCATGAAAGGTGTTTGGAAAAAGCTCTGCCCTCAGTTGTTTGGTACTAATGTTGAAGATAAATCAATACCTTTCCAGTCATTCTGCTTGCAGATTATGCACCCAGTCATCCCCCCTCTTCAACATCACCACCTTACTGTTAAAATCATATTCTTACCACTAAATACAACTTCCATTTTGCAACCAATAGACCAGGGTCTTATCGCCACATTTAAAGCACTGTACCTTCGGCAGACATTTGAAAGGTTGATTAAAGCAACGGATAACAAAACAGGTACAAGTCTTAAAGATTTTTGGAGAAAATCACTTAATATTTTAGATGCAATAAAAATTACAGCATGGCGTGGCCCCAGCTCACACTAGCATCCATCAACGAGCGCTAATCGACGCGAGATGGGTAGATCTAGGAGACCCCACATGCCGGGTCCGTCGCAAGCCGGTTCGCCGGGTCGCACCTCGGGCCCCATGGACTGCTTTGTTTGCATGCCGCGAGACATGCGGGCCGCGCCGGCCGCAGCCCAAATGGCGCCGGCCTCCCCAGGAGATAGCAGCAGTGACAGCTAGACGCAGGGCTCGCCCAGGGGAGAATCTCTCACCCAAATTGCATCAGAGGTGGCCAAGATCTCTGCCAATATGCTGTCCTGTGCGGACAAAGCTGAGATGCTGGCAGAAATCAGGACTGCAATCAGGGAAGAAGTTATGGAGGTGAGGAAAGATCTGACAGCCCTTGAACAAAGGGTAGAGGCCCTAGAAGCAGACAGAGCCCAGGCTGTGCAGCACCAACATGCCACTGACACTGCCACCACCAGACAGGGCAATGTCCTACTAGATCTTAGGAGACAACTAGAAGATCTGGACAACCGCGGACGGAGAAACAATATCCGCATAAGGGGCCTACCCGAAAACGTGGATGAAACACTGCCAGAACTCCTGACAGACCTGTTTACCCATATTCTGGGAGATAGAGCCCCAGAAGATTATGGCATCGAAAGAGCCCATAGGGTGCTGCGACCCTTGTCCCCGGAGGGACCACCGAGAGACGTAATTTGCTGCTTGTTCTCTTACGCCTTAAAAGACAACATCATGAGAGCGGCGCGCAATCAGCAGAACATCGCCTTTAGAGACGGACAGGTCTCGCTTTACCAGGATCTCTCCGCGCTCACGCTGGACGCCAGGAGGGCACTGCGTCCAGTAAATGCCATCCTCCGGGAGCGGAGGATCCCATACAAATGGGGCTTCCACTTCAGCCTGCAGGCGAAGGTGGGCCCTACCTGGCATATTATCCGCTGGCCAGCGGATGTACCACGCTTCATACAAGCCACTAGTCTACCCGCGGTGACGGTATCCAACTGGGTCCTGGAGCGACAACCACATCATCCACGGGCTGCCAGCGACAGGCCGGCATGGGCCTCACAGGGAGCGGGTTCCGGCGGGGTGGCCCGGACAGCCACGAAGAATAATAGATTCCTATGAACCTGGCCCCCTATCTCCCATTCGGCACCCCAACTGCTGATCTGCCACCCCACCAACGACCCCCCAGCCACTACAGAATGAAACCACGCGATGACTCTGAAGGCCTGGCCACCGACCGTCGGAAGCACCAGTGGGTGTCGGATACCACGGGATGGCATGGCCCCCCACGCACCTGGTCGAGCCACGGCACACCTTGGTATGTACTTGATTCCCTGACCTAAGCCCATAACACTGGTTTCTGAACCACACCAGCAGGGGGTGGCCTAGCCGGAGCCTCACAACCAGGGGAGGGGACACTCATGGGACAGACTTTGCATGGACATGCCACGCTAGGACTCGCCCAGCTGCCACGGCCCGGGAACACTAACTACCTTTGGGTGGTTGGGGAGTGGGGGTGGAGGCCGGGGCCTGCCACCATACTGGGGTTGTACCCACAAGCTCTAGCCTGGCGGGTCTGACCGAGAGCACGGATTCCAGCACCTTCTGGACAGCCGAGGGCTTTTCAGGCATGAAATGGTGCCACCAATGAGGGGTTACGGGGGGCTCCTTGAGGGGGGGGAGAATGGAGGGCCTTGCTCCACAACTGTTTATTATGATTGTTACATGGTTTCTAATGTTTGAAAACAATTGCTCAGGCGCTGTAAAGTATGTGTAGTGACAGTAACAAACTAGAGTGAAACTTGGGGCCCGAGTCAGATAGTTCACACGTAGGCCACGACAGGGAGGGACGACAAAAGCGGGTGGGGTTTCCGGGGCGGAAACATGCTCAGATAGATCTACAAACCAACACGATAGGTGAGCTGGGAGCCAAGGGAAGGGCTCGACACGACATTATCGAACGACCCAGACCAGAAGGACCACATACCCCAAGTAACGGACTCACGTTGTATATACACTCGGAGGCCACCGAGGTGACTCACCCCTAGGGGAACAGACACCAGAGGGCAACAAAAACCGAGGCGAGTCACAGTTGCCTTACTCTCGGACAGACTTTCCCCCTCCCCAGACACCGGACAGACCTTACCCCTACACCCACCAACCACTGATGCACACATTCCCACATACACATAACGCTGATAGCGATGGGCTCTAACTATAAGCGGACACCGCTGACCCTATGGTCTAACAATGTGAGAGGACTAAACATCCCCGAAAAGAGGTCCCAACTACTTCGCACACTGTGGGCAGAGCGCGCCTCAGTGGCGTTTTTACAGGAAACTCATTTTCAGGGCGCAGAGGCGCCGACCGTGAGAAACGGGCGTTACCCCACAGGATTTTATGCCAATCACCCAGATGTGAAGAAGGCCCAAGTAGCAATCCTACTCTCCAGTACAGTCCCATTCATCTGCACGGAGCAGAAGTCAGACCCCGGGGGTAGATACATATTTATCAAAGGAACAATTGCACAGACCACCTACACATTTGCCTGCTTGTACTCCCCTAATCGACGCCAACACGTCTTCCTAACTAAGACGCTAGCCTTACTAAACAAATTCAGAGACGGCCTTCTGATTGTGGCTGGTGACCTCAACACTCCCCTTGACTCTAGATTGGATACATCTAGGGGAGAAACTTCGATGCCAGGTCACTGCATACGCTCAACAGGGAGGGCTTTAGCCCAGTGTGGCTTGGCTGACTGCTGGAGAGTGGCAAACCCCGAGGGCAGAAATTACACCTTCTATTCGGCTGTACATCAGCGCTACAACCAAATTGACTACATCCTAATGGCACAAGAGGCCCTAACACTACTCCAACGAGCTAACATAGGGCTTATCGCAGACTCTGACCACACCCCCATTACAGTACAAATCCAGTCCCCCCCTACATAAACCCGCAGAACGGCAATGGAAGTTAAACGAAAACCTATTGCTCGAACTAGCGGACAAGGAACAAGCCAGGCAATCGCTGACACAATACTTTGATACTAATAACACACCAGATACTCCCCCCCTAACTGTCTGAGAGGCACATAAGTGCGTCATCAGGCGCCACTATATCAAAATATGCTCACAGCGCAAAAAAGAGCGCACACAACAATTGTCCACCCTAAACGCACAAATCGCCACACTAGAGCAGGCACACAAACAAAATTAGGGGTAGGACGAGTTCAACCCACTGACGGAGCTTAGTAGGCAGAGGCGGGACATACTAGCCAAGGGTCTCTTGCGCACCCTTAGAAAGTCGGCTTGGCACTTCTTCGAATACTCCAACAAGAGCAGTAGGCTTTTAGCACGCCAGCTTCAAGACAGACGAAGGGCGAACCACATACACAAAATTAAAACAAGGGACAAGACTGAAACAAGTTTACCCGACGGAATCCAACGTGCCTTCGTGGACTACTACACCGACTTATATAACATCCCCCAACCCACGACGGTCGCCGCACATACCCAATGCCGCAACCAAATATCGAAGTACTTTGACCAAAACGTAGAACGACAACTAACCCCCGAAATGTTGGAGGAACTAGAACAACCCCTCACGATAGAAGAGTTAGCCGCATCATTCAAAATCTCCAAATCCCATAGGGCACCCGGCCCAGATGGCCTCCCACTGGCATACTTGTGTACATTCGGCGATATCTTACTGCCGAACCTTCTATGAGGTCTTGGCTCACTTCAAGACGGGGAGCGGTTTCCCACCGACACACTAGCGGCCATAGTCACAGTAATACCCAAGGAAGGCAAGGACCCAACGACCTGCGCTAGCTACCGCCCTATATCCCTGCTCAATGCGGACCTCAAGCTGTTCGCCAAGACACTAGCCCTTCGAATCGCGAAGCACCTACCACAACTAGTATGCTCGGACCAGGTCGGGTTCGTCCCTGAAAGGGAGGGAAGGGATAACACCATCAAAGCCCTAAACATTCTGCAAGTAGCAAGGTCGCAACACCGGGAGCTACTCCTTCTCTTGACAGATGCCGAGAAGGCTTTCGACCGAGTGGACTGGGTGTACTTGGAGGAAACACTCACACACATGGGATTCGGCCCACACATGCGATCATGGGTCCTTTCCCTGTACACAAGCCAGACAGCTCGGATTCGGGTGAACGGAGCTCTGTCCGTCCCCTTCCCCATTCGAAATGGAACCCGCCAGGGTTGCCCGTTGTTGCCCCTCCTGTTTGCCCTCTCCCTGGAACCCTTCCTGGGGGCGGTCCGATGGGACGGGGTATCACGGGATTCACCGCATACGCGGATGACATGTTGTTTTTTCTCACCCAACCGCGGATCTCACTTCCTAATCTTCTGGCCGCATTCCCAAGATTTGGCTCGATATCTAACCTTAAGCTCACCTACCAGGCCCTCAGGATCCCTCACCGATGCTATATATCCAATTCCGCTTCAAGTGGTGTCCCACTAAATTGAAATACCTGGGCATATGGCTACCTAAAGACATGACCCAACTATACTACCAAAACTACCATCCGCTGCTACAAACGATCCAGGCAGACATGAGAAAATGGGCCCCTCCAATATAGATCTTGGTTTGGATGCATTAATGCAGTCAAAATGAACCTTCTACCCACACTGCTCTACCTATTCCAGACAGTGCCAATCGCGGTCCCCAGAGCGTTCTTTAGCTCCCTGACGACCGCCATCCGCAGATTTGTCTGGAATTCGTGCCCAACGCGCACCAAGAGAACGACATTGGAACTGCCGAAACCGTTGGGGGGAGTCGGCCTGCCCTCAGTTGAGACATACTACCGGGCCGCACATTTACACAGGATCACAGACTGGCATGCACAACATCCCACAAAACAATGGGTCACACTGGAATTAGAACAGTTGGGAGGGGACATACCCCCCACATTATGGCTACACACGGCCACATACGCAGACATACAAACCAAAAATCCCTTAATAGACGCCACCCTAAGGGTCTGGACGGCAACCCGATACCGTCTACAACTCACCACTTCACCCAGTCTCCTGACCCCCCTCATACATAACCCGGACTTGGCAGATACGCTAACGCGCGGTGACTTAGCCGGACTCCAACCGACGGACTGGTTATATATACACCAGTGGCTCAGCTCCAACGGTCTCAAAACACTCGGAGAACTATGCCCCGACAGAACACCTACATTCCTTGAACAGTTCAGATACCGCCAAATAAAATCATACTACTCAGCACTTACACAGACCCTTAACTGACTTCGAAACCCTATGTGTGCACCGCACACACATCACCAGGGGTATCTTAACCCTGTACACACTACTCATGACCCGGACTAACAGGGACATGGAGCTTAGGTTCAAGGACAACTGGGAGAGGGACGTGGGAGAGACACTCACTGCACAAGAATGGGACAAGATTTACACCCTTACGCACAAATGCTCTATTAGCTCGAAATTTCAGGAATTCAACTATAAAGCGCTAACACGCTGGTATAGAATGCCCGACACACTGCACCGCATGCACGGTACCACGTCAGACATATGCTGGCGATGTGGCACACAACCTGGCACTTATATCCACATGTGGTGGTCATGCCCGGTAATTGCCCCTTTCTGGGAACAAATTAGAGGAGAGATCAACAACATCACAGGCTCCGATATCCCCCTGGCACCCTTAATGATGCTTTTACACCACACCCGAAGCCCACTGAAAGCACACAAAAAATCCCTGGAGCTGCCGCTACTCAATGCCGCCAAATCCCTCATCCCGAGGATGTGGAAACAGCCAAGAGCCCCCACCTTGGGGCAATGGGTGGCGGCGGTGGAGGACATATACTCAATGGAGACCCTGACGGCCGACTTACATGGGAGACCGGAGCGGTGTGCATTGACCTGGTATCCATGGACCACATACGTGGCTGACAGAATTGTGACCCCCGAGCCAACTTAGCTGAAACTCGCAGAACATCACGACAAATACCTTACCCCCCATAGGCACAGACACGCCCTACCCACTAACCACACACAGACAACTGACAGTTTCCCCCACGACCAAAACTGACATCTGAAAGACATAACACCCACTTGGACAAACTACCCACACCACCGGGACCTAGAGCAAACCAGGACGGACAACTTGAATCAGCCGGTAGCACAGAGACAGGTTTGAGAGACGGGACCACTCGACTCCCGGTAAACAGTAAGACCCCAAAGCTCACGCAAATAACCCCGAACACTGTACCTGCAGTTGGTAGACTGCTACTAAGTAGAACGGAGGCTCCCCCCATAACTGAGATGCACAGGCAACCTCCCATATGACCAGCACGTCACTTAGCACCGCAGTCTGCAGTGGGGAAGGTACACCTTAGGACGACAGACCCAAACCGGGGAACCGGGAATCAGATAATCGGGTCCAATCGTTAACATAGCACTCCAAGTAGCGCAGTGCACCCAAGGGATAACCCTTGAAGGCTATGAAAGAAGCTAGGGAAGTATCCCAGGGACAGCGTACCAAACACGGACAGCTAGAATCGCAGTCTACATCAGTTAGAGCCCGAGGCGGCAATCGCCGCAAAGACCCGGGATTCAGACCTAGCTTCGTAAGAGCGCTATGTAACTGCAGGCACTAGCCACGATAGTTTGAGGGTTCAACAGAAGAAACCTAAAGACAGGTCTATGTTGTTGCAGGAGCATATCCTTGTTCGCGCAATGTTGTTCATTCAGACTAAATGTACTTTACCGGACTGACTAATGTTACATTATCTTTTGAAAAATCTGATAAATAAAGATTGTCAAAAAAAAAAAAATTACAGCATATGCCTGGAACAAAATTTCTGAGACAACCATGAAAGGTATTTGGAAAAAGCTCTGCCCTCAGTTGTTTGGTACTAATGTTGAAGGATTTGAAAAACCAGCAGAAATTGTACAGCAGTACACAGAAGCAATCGTTACTCTTGCCATCAGATTGGATCTGGATGCCTGCAACTGACGTAAATGACCTTCTTGAAGCACACAAGGAAGAACTTACAAATGAAGACCTCTTAGATATGAAAGAACAAGAGGAAGTTGAAAAGGTAGATTTTCCTGCACCTGAAACTCCTGTTCATCTTTAAATTTTAAAGGCCTTGAGGAAGCATTTCAACAAATAGAAAAGGCAATTAATATTTTTGAGTCACAAGATTCTAACTTTGAGAGAAGTACTAAAGTTGCCAGAGATCTAAAAAAATGTGTATGCCTGCTATAAGGAAATTTACAACGAAAAGAAAAGAATGTGTTGGAAGCAAACCACTTTCACAACTTGTTTACAGGAAGCTGCTGTGACTAGTTCTGTCTCAAACGAACCAGAAACAAGTAAGGTGCAGCCTTCAACAAGTACCAGACAACTGAGGGTGGACTGTGTGGTGCCCAATTCATCAAGTGCAATATGTCTCTTCATTGAGGACGATGGTGATTGAGGATGAATTGATAAATAATTCAATATGGTGTGTATTTCTTTATTGTTCCTACAACTTATATGTATTTGTTATGCCTATATTTTGTATTTGTACTTAATAGTTTAGGTTTTCGATGGTTACATTTATTGGTCAGGAACGGAACCCATGCTTATTACATTGAGGAAATTAGTTCTCACTTTAGGAACTTTCACTTTATGAACTAGGTTTTGGAACCAATTCGTTTGTAAAGTCGACAACTGTAAAAAAAAAATTTGTTTTAACGCATATATCTTATAAAAAACAACAACATTATTTTCAATATACCAAAGCTGTTGAAGGCCCTATGCATCCCTAAAATGCATTAAGATGCAAGAAAGTTATTTTAACAAGGGAGATAAACCTCAACCATAACATGTGAACCTTGGTATTTTTAACTAAATACGTTTGGAAATTATTTACAAAACCATGAAAAACTAAAATTCTGTAAAACTTTGTAAA